ATATATATATATATATATATATAAATATATAAATACATACAACCAGGAACTACAAGTGTAGTGCAGGATATGGCTTAAAAACAGGGTAAAAAAAAACAGATACAATGTCAATTCATGACAGAGCTACCGACAAGCATTCACAATGCCAGTGTATGCGAGCCTTTCATTTTCCTGTGCCTGGAAACCTACGCCCTGGCTTACGCAGTCTTACTTATCCAACCTGCTATACAGTGAAGCCTGTATGTTCTATCATGGTTAGTCATTATCATCATCATCAATCAGTCTTGTTGAAGTAATTTTAACATAACCTCCCAAACAAAACTGGTTCAGTCAGTCTTAAGTCAGTCACTGATTGCACTACAGCATTGGAAACAGGACAGGAACGCAGACATGGATTCAAGTAAGTGCTTCTCTTATTGTGTTCACCAGGTAGAGCTGGTTTTTGGGGAGTTTTCTCCTTATCTGCTGTGAGGGTCTACAGACAGAGGCTTTTGTATGTTGTAGTGATTTTGGGTTGTATAGATGAAACTGACTTGACTGTAGAGGTGTACATAAGGAAATATTTTTAAACGTAAACATGTTTTTTTTTTTTTTTTTTCATCTTAACTAAGAATACTTGATTGAATCTACTCACTCATTTATTTATCTAATGTTAGCGTCAACAGATTCTCTGGACTTAGTGAGCCCTTACCTGTTCAAGTACAAAAAGACAAACTTCCTGGTCAAGGACAAATTGCGACCCACAGACATTGATGCTCTGAAGCATGTTGAGACCCGTCCTACTGATATTTTCCTCATCACATATCCCAAGTCAGGTCAGTGGCTGAAAGAATGAATGGAAACTACGTAGCATGCATGCTTTGAAAAAGTATCTACATTTATATTTTTAAAAAATTGTTTATGTATAGCAAATAAACTTGGATGAAATCTAAAATCTTGTGAAAATTGATGTATTTTTTTTTATTTTCAATCTACTATTCTTAGTTAAGATTATGTGACCACAGGGTGAGGACTGGGACCATTTTAGATGGTCCCATTCACCAATTCGCTGTCTACCAAGCCGAGGGAAATTTAAGGGGAAGACCCACTCAAGTCAATGCAAAAAAAAAGGGGGAGTGAGGTTACACACACGAAACTAAAAATAAAGAGTGAAGTGAAACACAGCAAACAACACTCAACCGTGCAAAAGGAGTGGATGCTTGGGGAGCTAGGCCCTGGCTTAGACAGGCCTCAACCCTCCTTTCCTCAGTCAAGGTTCAGCCTAAAAAGCAAAGACAAAGAAAAAAAAACATTAAAAAGGGCAGTTGGTCAATTACATAAGATAAGTAGATTAATAGAAATATAACCCCTAGGCAAAACAGCAGTCAGCACTACAAGAAAACAAGAGAAAAAGACAATTACCCAAAACACCCTTAATGTATTTTTGTTAATTAAAGGAGGTTGTCCAGAGTATTAAAAGGAGTGTCATGAGTTTCACCTTGACGGTCATGAAAAAGGGTTAAATCAGCTCTCAATAATGGCAGGACCAGGCATTCACCTCTTCAAGAGAGTCATCTAGCGTCTTTTTAAGAGAATATTATCTGTAAAACACAATATAGTCAATGATATATGTAGAGGAGGTATCAGCAGTTTGATGCAGCTTCTGCAGTGAAGAGGTTGTGGTGAAGAGGGAGATTGATTAACTGGTCCATCTACGTCCCAACCCTCACCGATGGTCATGAGCTCTGGGTAGTGACTGAGAGAATGAGGTCGCAGATACAAGCGGCCAAAATGAGTTTGCCCCTTCAACCCTGCCCCAGATAAGTGGATGGATGGATGGATGGATGTATGGATGGACGGACGGACGGACGGACGAATGGACAGACAGGAGGTGGCAGCCCAGAGCAGTCTGCAGATCCAGATGGAGCATAATAAATAAAATAAATATAACGGACCTACATCAATCAACCGCTCTATTATTTCATCTGGAATTTAGCAGCTGAACGGTTACAGACAAATTTAGTGAGTCCATCTAACAAATATGTTTTTCACCCCTTCCCCCAGTGGAAATGGCACATTTGGCTGAAGTACAATTGCATTAAATGTAATGCAACATGCAACAACACTTGAGTTTTTAAGGTCGGGTTAACAGTGCACACCCAATCTGTGTCCAAGTTGCTTACATGTAAATCATGGGCAGGTTTTGAGCATGTACAGTGGCATGCAAAAGTTTAGGCACCCCTGGTCAAAATACCTTTTTCCGTTAAGCAAGCAGATGATGGGCTGATCTCCAAAAGGAAAGAAAAGGACGCAGGGAAACAAAAGGCTGGAACATTAGACACACAAGGAGCTAAGACAAACTGGCACTGAGAGAAAACAAGACACACTAAATACTCTGGTGAGGGGAAGGATAATGAGACATATAGGTGAGGCTAATCAGGGCGGGACTGACAATAAGACACAGGTGAAGTCATCAAAAGAGAGGGAAAACTCACAGGGGCAGGAAGTGAAGTGATCTGAAAGGAGAGGAGATGTGAGATTCAAAGCAAAAGAGGAAACACCATGAATGAATGAAATAAAAAATATAACCTAAGAAAGTTGAGCTGTGACATGAGGATTGTAAAATACAGTGTCAGTTAGCATTTTTAAGACAAGACAAATGACATTCTTATTTTTAGATTAATGAATTCAATGCCTTTCAAGACTTTTCAAGGATGCCCTGTCCTCTTTTGTATTATCAACATCCTCTATTTTATTTGAGTCTACAGGCACTACATGGATGCAGCAGGTCCTGGTCCAGGTCATTAATGCTGCACACCCTGAGTGGGCAGGAGATGCCAGCAACAGGGCACTAGTTCCTCGGCTGGAGGGGAGAACTGTGGATGACCCTTTCCGAGAAAGACCAGATCCTCGAATCTTTGGCTCACATCTCCCTCCTGACTTGTTGCCCAAGGGAGTGAAAGACAAACAAATCAAGGTGAGTTACAATATGTCATTCTCAAGCATTGATTCAAGCATCCATCTGTATACCTTATTTTTCTTTAGGTTGTGTATGTTTGGAGGAACCCCAAAGATGTCCTGGTGTCCTTCTATCACTTTGCCCACAGTTGGGTATTGCTGGAAACACCTCACAGCTTTGAGGATTTCTTTCAGCGGTTCCTGGATGGTAATGGTAGGTCCAGTACAACATTTCTGAAGTGACATTTTATAAATAAGCTGATTTTGTCATCTGGAGGTAGAGAGAATGATAGCGTTTCCAGTGTTTTTAAAGGCACAAATATGGTCGGATTTTACCAAAACTTTGCTGCTTTTCCTGCGGAGGACTAGGCCCCAAAACTGGGTAGGCTATAATAAGCCAAAACATGATCTTTTCCTAACCATAACCAAGTGGTTTTTGTGCCTAAACCTAACCGTACATTAACCACAGCATTGTTGAAACATAAAGTTATAACGAATCTGCTGCATAATAACATGTAAATGTATTTTATCTATGATTTAAAATGCCAACATGTCACTGGGTTGTTAGAAAACAAACAGTAACCACATACAGTACCAACAGGTCTCACTCATCTTTTGCATTTATTTTCAGCACTGATACACGTGTATCTTTTCTCCAACAGTTTACATGGGATCGTGGTTTGATCATGTGCGAGAATATCACAAAGCAAAAGATCAACTGGACATCCATTACGTGCAGTATGAGAACATGTTGAAGGTTGTGAATCTTCTTTTATATACTGGGTCTTCTGTTTGGCACACTGTTTTAGAAATGCAGCAAATACACATGTACACACATGTTGCACACATATTAACATATTCCTACACAAATGTGATTGGCAGGATCTCAGAGGGGAAGTTGTGAAGCTTTGTGCTTTCCTGGGAAAAGACTTGACAGATGAAGCCATTGATCATGTTGTGGAGATGTCCACCTTCGAAAACATGAAGACAGACCCCAAAGCAAACTACAAGGACTTAACTGAATCCAACCGCTACATAAAGCAAACCATGCGCAAAGGTTTGTTTCCATGCTGATGACTCCTCTATTTTTTTTTACATTTCCAAAGAAGACGTTAAATGGTGGGAGAGAAATAAGCATCTCTGACTTTCTCTGTGTCTGAGCAGGTATAACAGGTGACTGGAAGAATGTCTTCACAATGGCTCAGAATGAACTTTTTGACAAAGTGTTCAAGGAGAAGATGAGCGACTTTCCTCTGACCTGCACCTGGGAGATCAAACAGTAGCTCCTCTTAAAGCTCAGCTCAGCCCTTAACTGAAGAGCAGTTCACTTAATACAAGAGGAGTGATTCATTCCCTCTGTGATCCTCTGATTTTTACCTGACCAGACATCTGACATTTGAAAAACAATGTCCTCATCTCTTTATGCGTTATTATTGGTAAAAGGGTTGGTTGATCTTTCCTTAAGTAGTACAATAGATCTCTTTCCAATGAAATGATTAAATATAAATGTATACTGTTGGCATTGATGCCACAATTAAATTAATTTGCTATAAAATACTTATCTGAATTTGCTATCTTGACTGTATAACTTTTGTTAGGTATACATGAATGTATAATTTTAATAGCATGACTCGTGCACTCGTTATGTCTGTTATGTTTTATGTCTTTTATGAACTCCAGGAAGACTAGCAGTCGCCAAGGCGTCAGCTAATGGGGTTTCATTTAATAAACAATAAACAATCTCTATAGCAGTGTGTGTGTGTGTGTGTGTGTGTGTGTGAGAGAGAGAGAGGGACTGTAATCCAGTCTTTCTCCTAATATTTAAGCACTGTTTGTGCAAACCATTGATATGTTACATTTGTACGTTTCATATGTATTATATCTTGGTTTCAAAAGGGACATAATATACAAGCTGACTTTATCACTGGGAGGTTGATGGGTTGGTGGATGGCATGACACCTAGGTGAGACGCTTGCTAAGCTGCAGACCACTGCAGCCCCCTGTACAAGACCAACAATCAACACTACTTGAGATTTATCAAGTCATTGCAGTATATCCAATGGCTTCTCAGAACCTAGACAGGGGTGTTTTTAAGCACTATACACTGTTTAGAGCAGCTTGTGAGGCATGAAAAGTGACACCAAAAGAGCTGCTTCTAACCGACACAAAACTCAACCAGTGCTACACTGCCACCGTGTGGTAGCAGTGGAGAATGGAAAACCTTTTAAATGTTTTTTTTTAATTTCTTTCCAGAAGAAGAAAGAAGACAAAACAGAGAATAACTGGTAATTTAACTTGCATTCCTGATGTAGCACCAGGTAAAAGTCCTGCATTTAATAGTGCATTTGGGTAAAGGTATTTACATTAGGGTGACCATATTTTGATTTCCAAAAAAGAGGACACTCGGCCGGCCACGACATAGCCTACTTAAATGATACTCGCAGTTTACTCAAAGATGCCTTATAATTTTAATATATTTAAAGTTTATATGTATGGATAGAAAATTCAGTTATATTACAAAATAATATCTCTCAAAGACAGAAATTCAGATAGGCCCCTATAAATAGGGGACACATACACACACTAGAGTGCTACCCGATCCAAGTCCGACGGTACCCGACAGGTTGGGCCGGGTTCGGTCAAAAATGTATAAATTGTATTCGGGCTCGGGTCGGATTCGGTCAGCTTTCAGTGAAAATGTAGTGTAAAAATAAATAAAATCCTATTGTCTGTCCTGTTTATTGCTTGGGGACTGTTATTTACATGACAACACCTGAACAGAACACACACACACACACACACATTGGCTGTTTGTTTCTACCTCTCCCCTCGCTGGAAGCCTCGGACCTCCAGCCGCCAGCCTCCGCCTTGATTAAACACTGAAAATTAAATAAAAGAGGGAGACAGGTTTTTCCTATTTTATCTTGTTTTGTTATATTTCTCCCTCTCCCCTCGCTGGAAGCCTCGGACCTCCCGCCACCCGCTCCCGTCTCAAACACGGAGGTCTCCCTCTCCGCTGAGCACCTACGGCGCGCGCCCGGCCTGTTAAATAGCCTGTAACCATGACAGCTGTGTGACACAAACTTAGTGCTTTAGTCATTAAATAATGTCGGGCTCGGTTCGGTTTCGGACATAACAAAACAGAATGACTGTCGGGTTCGGACAGAAATATGCAGCCCATGGCGCACTCTAATACACACACACACACACACACACACACACAAGGAAAACCGGACATTATCATCAATTTATGAACACGCCCCGGACAGGACGTGAGAAGTGGACATGTCCGGGCAAAAGAGGACATTTGGTCAGCCTAATTTACATATTATCAGCAAAATTTACTCTAAGTAGCTGATGAAAAGTAAAAGAAAACACAGAAAATGTTCACATTATCTGACTAAAAAAAAATTATGCTTAGACCTTATTGATTACATTACATTATAATGCTTGAAGATAATTTGGAATGAAGGGTTTGACTTCAAATACACACAAGAAGTTTGTGCTCTAGAAAAGGATCAGCGCTCAGTGAATAACCTCCTAAGCCCTATGATAAGCTATTATGGCAAGGCTTTGGGGGTCATCGGGTGGGAACCTCCTTTCACCAGTGTTAAGTCTAGTTGGTCCCACGACACCTCCAGGAGGCTAGACAGTGATCTCTGGCATCCCAGAGACACTCCCCTAATGCCAGGTCTCACTGCTCCCCGCACCAACCCAACAACCTCCTTTACCTTACTTACACATGGCTTTCTCAGCCCAAACAGCACTGCCACCTTCAACCAAACCCAGGCTCCGTTTATGCGAGCTCCAGGTAGAGACAGTGCTGACTACCTTTCCTAGCACATTCACCATACTCTATTTCACACGCTACATAGCATAACTCCAATATAAGCTAAAGTTAAAGGAGACAGAGAAGAGCATGAGCATGGCACTGACTTAATGAGCTCACATCATGCATGATTAACCAGTAGCTTTCAGCCCATTGTGTCACAGCTAAAGCTTCTACATTAACGTTACTGAACTTCTCCTTAAACTTTAACTTACAGTGGGCTGCTTGGTTGTCGCTAAAATAATAATAAAAAACTGTCATTCACTCACCTTGTCTGTCAGCTAGCAGTATGGTCGTCTTCCTGTCAACTGAATTCAAGTTTTCCGCGTTCCGCCGATGCATCAGATAACTTCCTGCGTGGCGTTTCAAAATAAAAGCCTTGGTCTTGCGGATCAAAAATAGATGTCTAAAAGGTTTTACTTGGTTGTAAATATTCCTCCAAAGCTGGCTTTTATTTGTTGAATCAATATTTTTGGTCATATCTGCAATTGCTGCTCTCTTACTATAATGTGTTGTATTATGTTATATAAAAAATCAACACACTGACACACCACTAAAGGCCACACATTCCTGAAAATATGGGGACAAAACTAAATTACCTTCCCTACTCTTAACGTTTAGATTTTTTTTTTTAATCGTTATTGTTTGTTGTATCACATAATGAAAACTGAAACTATATGGGGAACCTGTTATTATTGCTGGACTATTTATTTTGTTGTTTGTTTTTATATAGATGTATTTGTGTTGTTGCCTCTTTTTTATCATTACTTATTGTGGGGAAATGCTTTAAAACAGTTAGAATATAAAATCTTAACCGACCGCCCACAAAATCTTTGTATTTTATGTTGCAGGCACTAGAGGGAGCCCTTTACTTAGTCTATACCATCTCCTGAGCCTAAATAAACGTCCAGTAGAGTCCGTCTAAACTGGCTGCAACATGAGGCCAAGAAAGCAGTATCCTAATATGACATTAGTTTTGATGGGAGGGGGAGAAGTGAAGTATAATATAGGATGCAAGGGAATCACAGTCCCTTAGAAGATTTCCTAGACAGCTCCTCCATATCAGACACCCATACTGTATGGTCCACACATCTGGAGTTTAGCACTGGTCTGGTGGTTCTATCACTGTTCTCTGACCCTAGGTGTTTCTCAAAGTCAAGGATCACCCCACTCTTGTTGTGGGGCAACAAGTTCTAGAATACACCTACTGGTGCTACTTGGACACATCCTCAGTGATGAACCCAAGGTCACGGTGTGTTTCGGGTCTTTAATCTTCAGACACCCTTGCCCAGGCGACCCAGCCTGACTTGTGTCCAATTGGCCCACCACTCCACGGATCCCCCCTCCGGATCCACAGCCATCGTGAGGCTCTTTCAGCGGCCTCGAGGTTGTTTTTGATGGCTCTTTTGCACTTTACTCCAAGGAGTTTGAGGGTTCGACGCAATGACTGGCCAGCGAATCCGCGGCACCCAACCTCGATTGGTTCGACACGGGCTGAACTGCAGTGGTGAAATCAAAGAACGCCCACAGAGCTCAAGCTCCCCAGCCCTGACTAAATGGTCACACTCACTAGCTAATTAATCTCAACCCTAGTCTTCGGACAGATACTGGTGGTGGGTACTGAAGACAACCAGGAACTGACGACCATCAGGAAACCAGGGAAAAGCTCCAAAGACATTGTCTTCACCCACATGCTCCGCCACACTCAGTGAAAACAACAAACTGGTTGGTCTCCTGTTGAGAGCGACCACTTCAGCCTACAGAGGGGATGCATGGCTTCTTCACACTACTGTGGCTATATTCACATTATTTGGTTTGCATTTCAAACAAGGTGGGGACAAATGCTGCACCCTTCCAACACCCACAAAATTTGACCACACAAAAAGCTAAGATTAACTTAAATGAACAAATGGAGTGTGTAGGTCAGGAACGTTTAGGTCAGCTTTTATAGCTTGAAAGCCCAGGCGAGTGTAATCAAGGCAATGAGCCTCCCATGTCAGCCACCTACCTGATGAGGTCAGCTGGAACATCCTCTAAGATGATGGAGGGGGCGTCACAGGGCGGATGGAGGTTGTCAGGCATCAAACTCAGGCTGCCATCTTGACCTGTGGGTGTTTCTCAAAGTCAAGGAAGGAACCTAAAATGGCTGAATCTCAAGGAGGCTACGTCATCAAATCCCGCCTAAGGACTGCTCCAATGTTGCAAAGTTTCTTCAGATTTTACTGACGATAGAGTCCTTCATTCAGAGAATTTTAAGAGATGCAAATGCGTGTATCCTTAGCAGGTATAAAGTACCCACAATTCTCTGCGCATGATTTGCTGGAAGTGAAGACATTAGGTGTTTCTCAATGTCAAGGAAGGATCCTCAAACGGCCAAATTTGAAGGACGCTATGTCATCGACCCCCGCCGAAGGACTGTTCCAATGTCCAGGATCCTTCCGAGTTTCACGGAGGACTGAGTC